AACTGTCAGGCAAAAAAAACTAACCAGAAAAAAAAACATCATGAATTCTTGTGTTGTCTTCAATTCTAACTCAAACCCATTTCTCAAAATCCTCTCTGTCTTGGCTATACCTTGAGATTTTATTCTTTTTACTTATTCAGGTTCATTTCTGTTCTTCTTCTTCACCTAAATCTCTCATTTACCCCCTTAAAACTCAAATCCTAAGATCTCTGAACAAGCTTCAGTTTCAGCACAACGTTAGCCTTATTGTGTCTTTAACAGTAGGCACTCCACCACAAAATGTCTCCATGGTTCTCGACACCGGGAGTGAGCTCTCTTGGCTCCATTGCAACCAAACCACCCGAAACTACCAACCAGACCCAACTATATTTTACCCGAATCAATCAACCTCCTACAAACCAATCCCTTGTTTTTCTCCAACGTGCACAAATAAAACCCAAGATTTCCCGATTCCACCTTTATGTGAATCTGACAACCTTTGTCACGCGACTCTTTCCTACGCCGACTCTTCATCTTCCGATGGAAATCTCGCCTCCGATAACTTCCATCTCGGGTCATCCGACAATATCTCGGGTCTTGTTTTCGGTTGCATGGGTTCCATTTTCAGTTCAAACTCAGACGAAGACTCCAAAACCACTGGTTTAATGGGCATGAACCGTGGCTCCCTCTCTTTTGTTTCCCAAATGGGATTCCCCAAATTCTCGTATTGTATCTCGGGTTCCGATTTCTCGGGCCTTCTTTTACTCGGCGATTCCAATGTAACGTGGCTTACACCATTAAACTGCACGCCATTAATCCGAATCACCCAACGGTTGCCGTATTTTGATCGGGCCGCTTACACGGTTCAGCTTGAAGGGATCAAAGTATCGGGTAAGTTATTACCGGTTCCGAAATCGGCCCTAGTCCCGGATCATACGGGGGCGGGTCAAACAATGGTTGATTCGGGTACCCAATTCACTTTCTTACTCGGACCCGTTTACAACGCTTTAAGAACTGAGTTTTTGAATCAAACAACCGGGGTTTTAAGGGTTTTAGAGGATCCGAACTTCGTGTTCCAAGGGGCAATGGACTTGTGTTACCGGGTCCCGTCGGGTCAAACCGGGCTGCCAAATTTGCCGTCGGTGAGCTTGGTATTTGCCGGGGCGGAAATGGTGGTTTCGGGTGATCGGGTTTAATACAAGGTTCCGGGTGAAATGAGGGGGAATGATTCGGTGTGGTGCATGAGTTTTGGGAACTCTGATTTGTTGGGCGTGGAGGCTTACGTGATTGGTCATCACCATCAAGAAAACAAGTGGATGGAATTTGATCTTGAGAAATCAAGGATCGGATTGGCTCAGGTGCGCTGTGATTTGGCTAGGCAGAGATTTGGTGTGGGCCTATAAGGCAGCAAGCAGCTAATGAAGAGAGAGTGAGGAAATGGATGTTTGTGTTTATATTTATGACCTAAAATTTCAACTCATTTATAATCCTTTTGTTATAAGGAACAAATATACATTCTTTTAATTTTCTCATTTGTTGTTATATAATAAGAGACTGAATTTCCATGGCATTAGAATCCAAATTCTAATAATTAATTTTGTCGGTATGCAAAACATTTAGAAGAGGATTCTTAATAGATTAGAAAATGTTGGGATTTATAATTTGATAAAAAATGATTGATAATATAATATAATTTAAAAATAAATTATGAATTTCCATGGCATTAGAATCTAAATTCTAATAATTTAACTTTATTAATGATATATATGTGTTCGCGTACACGTGTATTTGTATAAATTGATATGATGGTTGATGATTAAATCTTTAATAGGTAAGGATTGATAGAACTATTATGTAAATGATGTATGTTATGTTGAGATTGTTGTTTAGTGTAGGTCAAGTAAATGAATGCTTATGAATATGATAACTTTAAGATTGATTATGTGTGTGATTGTTAGTTTTAGGAAGCACGAACTTGAAAGAGTATATATGTGTATGTGTGTTTGATTATTCAAATATTCATTTAAATTGTGTAGACAATATAGTATGAATGATCGATGATAGAATTTGTGCGTGACACGTATGTTATAAATAAAGGCATGTTGAGTGATCATTGACATGTATATGAATGATTCTTATATGTTTTGGTATGTTAGGTGATGTATAGGTAAATTAGAAGCATTTAGAAATGAGTCTAAAGTATATTTAAACTAAATTTTAACAATTTAGTGCGAAGAATATCGATATTGTTTTAATTGTATCGATACTACTTGCTAGGGAAAAAATTCAAAATACTAATTTAATACAGATACTATCAATTAGTATAAGAATTGTAGTATCGCTATCGAACCCTTAAAAAATACAACTATGTTTTAAGCCTTCTAAATGTTATATAATGCTTTCTAGTCCCTCTATTTCTAATATATATAGCACATTAGTCTTTTAATTAAGACAAAAATGGCGTATTTAAAGATAAAATGATTAATCAAATTTAATTGAATTTGTATCTGACAAACCGGTTCATAATAGTAAGATTAACAACCGAAATAGAATTGATTAAGCAAAAGATTAGTCGTTGGAATGATCTGTCAAAAAAATTAATAGGTTAAATACATGTATGATTTAGATTAAATGGTTGAAAATGATTAAATGAGAACTTCAAATACAATTTAAAAAATATACATCAAAGATAAAAGGTAAAGTTTTAATATTGGTCGTAATTGTGTTCAAAAATAGACTAAAATTTAAATGAGACCAAGTATTGAATATGAAATAAAAGACCTTGGTAATATGATTGTAAAATTTTCGACTATCAGACTAATATTAATTTTTTTCCTATTCCAAGTCTGCCTCAATATTGACAGATGTTTTAGCCTAACTTTTCCTTTGTTCACATTTCAGCCCTCCTAGTTTTCTCCCGTTGGTAAATTGTTTATATCTTTTCTTTTCTTTTTTTGTCTTTGTTGATTGAAAGCGGTACCAACTTTAATATTGGTTGTCGATCGTCGGTATTCTTTGTTTTCCTTTTATTTTCTTATATTACATCTTTATTTTCTTTTGTTTTTTATTTTCAATAAGTCTGCATGTATAACACGTTTTTATTTACCTTTATGACACGTTTTCTTCTGTCTTTTGACACGTTTTTCGGTCGTTATTTTTACTTATCTTTTTATAAGGGTTGATTTGACATCGTCACAACTGATAATATGGTGTTTATCTGTTTTATTGTTAATCTTCCCTACTTTAGACATTGGATTGGATTTGGATACCCGTTATGCGTTCATATATAGTTTCTCACGTCGCTCGAGTCTGATTTACGGTTTGTTGGTGGGCTTTCAATAGCTTGATCCCCTTTTGTGATTCTTTTGTCGATGCGAGCAGATATGTTTGTGTCTATCATTGTTTGAGTTTTTTTTTTTGTTAAATTTTAATCTTTCATTGTATAATCCTTATGTGATCTTAAGTTACGATTTTTGTTTCAATGATAATAAGAAATTGAGTTAATTATGTGCTTAATTTACTATTATGATTTGTAATTTATGATATTTCTTATTTTGAATAAAATTAGTGATTTTATAAAAAAACTAAATGATTGATTTGTTTTAAATTGATAAAAATAAGTTTTAGTTGTTTGATGTAATATTTATGATCCGATATACGATTAATCCGGGTAAGAGATGTTACAACTTAAACTTCTCTAAAGATAATTAGCATCGTCATTGAAAATTATTTTTAAAATATATTATAAAAATTATTGTAAAAAAATACTTTCAAAGATTTGGTATAAGATTCAAGCTTTAATATATTATCAAAAGTGCTCTGGAAAATATAAAATACTCATTTTAGATATATTATTATAAAGTGAAAAGTAAATTAATTTAAATGATATAGATAAATTTATACAAGACTTTGATATATAGAGTGTCAATGTCAAATAATTTATCTTCTTTATAAAATTTATTTCAGATATATTTTATAGTTTAGATATAAAAATCATATACAAATATTAAACTTATGAATTAATAAATGGAAGAATAATTTATTCAAATGTAAATATATCATTCTATGTCATGTACCTCCTCATTAAAATATTCAACTTATATTATAATAAAAATATTAAAAAAAAGGTTTTATGACAATCCATAGCTAATATTATATAAGAAATGTAAATTTCATACTCCTTAAGCAATCAATATAAATTATCTGTAGAACTTAATTTAAATATTAGTAAAATTTATAATGGAAGTGTGCATTCAAAACTATATAAATAATTTAATTATTAAACAATTTTCAAAGTGTTTGAATATAAAATGTTGTGGGAAAAGAAAGTTAGATGAGAGAAAGGGTGGTGAAAGTGATATTGCATCAAAAGTAGCTATCAAAATTTGTTAAGCAACTTGGAGAGAAAACAGTTTGGAACAACCGACAGCTAACTAAGATAATCCAATTGCATTCTGTTTTAGGCTTCATTAACAAGTATTAAGGTTGGACATTGAAGGCTACCCTGCAACCATGCCCACAATAACCCAACCATGCCCACAATAACCCATAATTACATCAATCAACTCCAAGGGAACTGACGGAAGCCATCGTCTTCCTAAAAGTTTTAAATTGTAGTATAAAAGTATGTTATTATATTTTCTGTTTATAATTTATTTCGTCTCTTAACATTTCGTAAATTTGCTTCTTCTAACATAAAATCCTACGTGTGTCCCTACTTTCATACTTCAATATTTTTTTACAAAATAATAATGTTTTTCACTCCGACTCATACCTGAGGAGGAATTTATTGTTAGAAAAATTAGATATCCATAAGGAGGATTGTTCTCTGGCTTGGACCTCACTCTAAAGTGATTCACCATCAGCTTTTCGGACCAGAAATGGAAGTTGCTGTCGAAAAGATAACAGGAGATTATCTCAAAACTGAGTTACCTAATCAACAAACTTGTCAGTCCTTCCCCACTATATAAACTCATTGATTCCTTCCTTTTTCTCACCATCAAAACTTTTTTGACTTTCTTTTTCATTTCGAAAAAACATAAAACATACAATGGTGTATGTTCTTCTTACATCATTGGACATTTTCAGGGCTTTGCTCCTATCATTGTTTGCTGTCTGGTTATTGTCTGATTTGGCACTTGCAAAACATGCAGGCATTACCAGGCACTACAAGTTTGATGTAAGTTTTGGTTACCCTTTTTCTGATTTTTAACTATGCTTATAGTTTTGGCTAACATTTTTTTACCATGTTTTTCAGATTAAGATGCAAAGTGTGACGAGGTTGTGCCAAACGAAGAGCATTGTGACGGTCAATGGCCAGTTTCCCGGGCCGCGGATAATAGCAAGGGAAGGCGATCGCCTTTTGATCAAGGTGGTTAACCATGTTCAGTACAATGTCACACTTCACTGGTATGGAATTTGACTTCCTAGTCCAACTGATTCTTTTCCTTTTATTCAATGGTTAGAATTTTAGTTGATGTTGATAGATGTTGGCTTTCCATTTTTGAAAACTAGGCATGGAATCCGGCAGCTTCGGAGTGGATGGGCTGATGGACCTGCCTATGTCACACAGTGTCCGATTCAGACAGGGCAGTCCTATGTGTACAACTTCACCATTACTGGCCAAAGAGGGACCTTATTTTGGCATGCTCACATCTCTTGGCTAAGGGCTACTCTTTATGGACCTATTGTCATTCTCCCCAAACGACATGCCTCTTATCCATTTCCCCAGCCCTACGAGGAAGTTCCCATCGTTTTCGGTACTCGGAACGACTTCTAATATAAGCACTAAGGGTGGAATAACTTTTTTGCATCCCGAATTAATTTTTATTGAGTTTTGCTTCAAATTGCAGGGGAATGGTGGAAGGCTGATACCGAAACTATTATCAACCAGGCAATGGCAACCGGAGGAGCACCGAATATCTCGGATGCCTTCACCATTAATGGTCTCCCTGGGCCTTCTTACAATTGCTCAGCAAGAGGTACCTCATCATCTTACAATCACAAGATTGTAAATTTCTACTGGAAAGGTCCAATTCAAGGACATACTAAAATCAGGTTAACTAAACACATGCAGAAACATTCAAGCTCAAGGTGAAGGCCGGTAAAACATATCTTCTTCGTCTTGTCAACGCTGCACTCAACGACGAGCTCTTCTTCAGAATCGCAAACCACACACTCACTGTTGTGGAAGCTGATGCAGTGTACGTCAAACCCTTCAAAACCAATACCATACTTATCACGCCGGGGCAGACCACTAATGTCCTTCTTAGGGCCAAATCCAAGACCCCAAGTGCCAAGTTTGCTATGTCAGCTAGGCCTTATGCAACTGGCCCTGCCACTTTTGACAATACCACCACAATAGGAATTCTAGAATATGAGAAATCTGTTTTAGCCACAAAATCTAATAACAAGAAGCTACCACTTGTAAGAGCAAAACTTCCACAGTTTAACGACTCCGCCTATGCTATGAAATTCAACCGGAAAATCCGCAGTCTCGCCACCGCTAAATTCCCTGCAAAAGTCCCGAAAATAGTTGATCAACGGTTCTTCTTCACGGTCGGGTTAGGGATACTCCCTTGCGCAAAAACCCAAACATGCCAAGGTCCCAACAACACTAGGCCTGCAGCTGCAGTTAACAATGTTTCATTTGTACAACCAAATATTGCTCTTCTCCAAGCTCACTTCTTTAATAAATCAAAGGGAGTTTACACCGCCAACTTCCCAACCAACCCACCTTTCAAGTTTAACTACACCGGCACACCACCGAAGAACATCGCGCTAAGCACTGGCACCAAAGTGGTGGCGCTACCTTTCAACACTAGCCTGGAGTTAGTGTTGCAGGATACTGGCATACTTGGAGCAGAAAGCCACCCTCTACATCTTCATGGGTTCAATTTCTTTGTTCTGGCTCAAGGTGTTGGGAACTTCGACCCCCAAAACGATCCAGCCAAGTTCAATCTCGTCGACCCCGCTGAGAGAAACACAGTCGGCGTGCCATCCGGTGGATGGGTGGCAATTCGGTTCCTTGCAGACAACCCAGGTGAGCAACATCATGACATAATATAACTCATAGATTCACTTATGACGTCATATACTTTTACAATCTTTTGATCAACTTTGAATAAATGGTGCATGAATAGGCGTTTGGTTTATGCACTGCCATTTGGAAGTACACACAAGCTGGGGATTGAAGATGGCTTGGGTGGTAAACGACGGGAAAGGCCGCAAACAGAAGCTACCACCTCCGCCCGCCGATCTTCCTAAGTGCTGAGACACAACCGTCGACGTCTTTTCAATTCTTCCGGTGTCCATTATATTCTTTTATTCCCTATTGCTACATGTTAGGATCACCAATTCCCCGTATCTTCAATGTTTTTGGGTTAATATTACTTGGAATTATACAACGCCAGAACAAGAACTGGTACAGATTATTTTCGTAGATTATCAGGCTATGTACCACCATACATAACAAGTATTGATGTGTTGAAGAATCTACATAAATAGATTTTCCACAAATACAAACTCTTGAATTAGAAATGAAAAAAGTCAATTAAGTTCAGTATTTTGGAAAAGAAAAATTCAGCAGAAAGCAAATAGCAAAAGGGAATCAAAACAAAAGCGATGAACGGAATAAATTAATAAAAATAAATTAATTTGCTTCTACATTAGAAATGGGAAAAAAATAGAAAACTAATACCAGTGCCAATCCTAAATGACTATATTTACGGATGAAATTTTATAAAATAAATAAATAACCGAACAATGTAGAGAACTATTTTTCCTTTCTTTATAGTTTGAACCACATAGCTTCACGTCTAGGCTGAATGTTGAAAAGAGAATCCAGGTCAGGCGGCTGAAAGTAACCGTTCTTCGGTGGCTCTCTCTTTGCTCCGCCTTGCGATTTCTTCCTCGGCGGCGGCGGACATTGAAATGCCTCCGGTATTCGATGCTTCGGCGTCGTGCAGCCTTCTTCTATCAAGCCGGGTGTCTCCATTTTCTCAGAAACCTTTGAAAAAGAAAATTTTCTTGAAAGTCGAAACGATATATATAAAGGATTTAAATTTTTTTAAAATTTGAAAAATGGTGGGAGAGGAAAAGGAATGGGGAATGTTCGTGGAATTGTGGGCGGTTTTTTTTTCTTTTAGCGGAGAGAATGACAGCTAAGCGAGAATTATTTGGGTCGACGTGGCGGATGATGAGTGGGTTAGTTAATCTATAGAGTACACGTGGCTCACGTTGAGCCGTGTTGAGTGTTTGTGGGGGGACATTTTCAGATAGGGAGGCGCCCGACTTGAGTCGGCGTTTGGGCGGGAAAAGTTAGTAGCTTTGAATCTGGACCGCCCTTTTTTGGGCTTCTGGTTTTTATTTAATTAGGGACTGAGTGGGGCCACTGCTGACTAAATTAAATATAGGGTAAACTATATGTTTAGTATCTCAACTATCATTTTTATTTCGTTTTGGTCATCTAATTATTATTTTTTCAAAATCATATTACCATTACGTTTTGCTTTATTTTGGTTATCTGTTATTAAAAAATTGGGACAAGTTTAGTACCTAAACTATCAGTTTTGGTTTGTTTTAATATCTAAACTTTCATTTTTTTAATCATACCTAACGTTAAATTTTCGTTTCATTTTAATACTCACATCATTAAAAACTTAACAGACTGGCTCGTCAGCCATCTCATCCATCGATCGATGAAGCCTAAACTTTTCAGCATGCACCTTTTCGACCCCCTAAATGCGATTTTGACCTCGATTTCACTGGGAAACACCTCAACTCCCCAAATCGATGTTGGACTCTTCAATTTCTTCATCCTCCGATCTCCATAGTCCACCGTCTGATGGGTCTGAAATTGGATTATGTTACTCTAATCGTCATTCTCTCACCGTCCACCGTTCAGATTGGTCGTCCATCGACTGGAGCTATGCCACATCAACTCATTCGTTAAATTTTTAACGACGGAGTACTAAAATGAAACAAAAATTAATCGTTATGTATAGAAACATGATAACTTAATTGATTCATAAACATCATATCTTAGTTAGTCCAAAAATATTATCCAAGTGTTACAAAATTTTTCTTTTAAATCTTTGCTAAAAGTGAAGTATGAAAATAATGATACATGTATTATTTATCCAAAATAAGGATATATTTAAGGAGATCCAATGAAACTTATTTATCCAAAAGCTTATTCTTTCATGATATTCAAAAGAATATATATATATATATAACAACTTAGTTCAAAGTGATACTTTGATAGATTCATTCATCAATACATTATCTACTTTAACATTTGAAGATGGTATATAAGTTTGATTGTGGAAACTCCCAAACCATATGTAATTTTGTTATGAGAGAGTATATATATGTTGTCTTATTTTTCTTCTATCAAAGTTTTATCTCACTAGATTTTTTTATATGATTTTTGATAAGACAACATGATATGTTTATTAAAATATGATGTATTCTTTTTTTTATAAGGTTTTCTCCCAAAGGTTTTTTTAGTAATATTTTAACGAGTCCCATATTTTACAATGAATCTATAAAGGGGAGCGTTATGAATAATTATTATTTGTGGATGTTCATTATGATTAAAATCATATGTATTAAATAGGAATTTCATGTACTTTATTATTATGACTTTGATGTCCATTACGTTTATAGTACTATATAATATCTATTCAGTGATAGATCTTGACAGCACAATTTGGAGCTATTTAATTTTTAAAAAATTCAAAAGCCTAAATTAAAATTTTTAAAATCTTGAAGGGTTTAATTTAAAATTTTGTAGAAAATGGGATCTAACTAGAATTTTAAAAGAGTTCGAGATTTAATGATAACTTTTAAAATTTCTAAGAGGAGGTTTAATAAAAAATATTCAAGATTTGAAAACACAATAATTTTTTTTTAAATTTTTGAAACGATCAGATTAAAACTTTCAAATTTTTGAAGATCAAATGCCATCCTTTTTAAAGTTTTGAGGGAGTGAGGACCCATATGACTCGTTACGGTATGTTACTTACTGTATCTACTCCTCATCCATATAAAAATAAAATTTAGAGAAAACTTTATACATATTTTATTAAAAATAATAATACAAAATTATTTCCTTATTACTTAATTTTCTTAATTTCACATTAAAAAACACACAATCTAGACATAGTAATGAATACTTGTGTTGTGTCTAAAGCAGTGCAACGCCATGACATACAAATATTATGGATAAGTGATGGTGATGAAACTGAGAGACGAACTAAGACTTAAACTGTTCTTTAGATTGCATGTTATTTCTACCTCATCATCTGACTTTGTGGATCGATAACTGCTGCAATGGCTGTTTCGATCTGCATCTTTAATCTTTCTTTCTCCCTTTCATCAGTCTGCATTTATCGTATCATATCAGTACATATATCTGATTCAACCTCACCTAAATATAAATAAGGCTGTGTTCGTGTCCGTTTGTTGTTTGTTGTTTGTTTAACTTAATAAACGAATATTATACAAATATTTTGTCAAACGCTCTCTTCATTTATACCCCTAAATCTAGGTATATATACAGAAACTAAGTTGTAGTTACCTCAATAAACAGAGTACTGTTCAACAGTGTCCCAGGGAGAGCAGTGATGTTTGCTGTAATAATTTTGAGGTTGAATGATTCAAAAAGTTGACAGAGTTTAACAATGGTGCCCGGCCTTTTAGCGCACGTTATGTTCACCAGCAAAGTGTTGTCTCGCATGGGCGACACCTTGTGCTGCAAAAGTTGAATCGGAGAAGATGATGAATTGAAAACATTGGTGTTGTGGGAACCTAGTAGAAGAGGAAGAGGCGGCTGCTCCTCCGTGTCTGGATTATTGTTGTTGTCCATCTCCATGATCTCGATTTGGGTTTTGGCCAGTTGTTCTTGTTCCTGTAGTTGCTGGATGTAGTCGATGGCATCCTTGATTATGGAAGGCTTGTCCAACTGAAAAAAGAAGAGATAAGTGATTGTTAGGAATGAGTATTTCATCGAGTCGAGTTGACAGAGTCTTAAAATGGAGTAGCTTACCTTAGTGATATTTGGAACAACTGATCTGAGGGACAAAAGGCGTTGGTTAAGCTGCTTCCTCCTCTTTCGCTCGGAAACGAGGTTCTTAGAGGCGGAAGAGTAGGCGGCTCCGTTGGGAGAAGTAGAATCATAGTACCAACTGCATTAATGCAAAGGAAACAAATTAATTTCCCTTTTGCTTGCCAAAACCAAAGTTTTAGGTTTAGTAGGTACCTATGTTCTTGGTTTTGAAGGGAGAATAGAGTCTCCAAATAATATGTCTGCTCATCACCAACATTCTCCATATTCTCCATCCAAAGAATTTACTTGAAATAAAGTAAGGAAATCATATATATATATATATATATATATATATATATATGGTGGAAGCAAGGGTGGCATGGATGGACTGAACCAGGTAGGCGGGGTTGTCATCTAGAAAATTTCAAATTAACTTATATCTTAAATATTTTTTTATATTTTTAATTAATAATCTATTTCCGTCATCCCTAAAATTTTATAAATTCATTTTATCCTAAAATTTTAAAAATTCACTCCGTAATTTAAAATCTTAAATCGGTCGGGCAGCATAAATGTGAATGGAGGAACGAGGTTTGAAAAACATGTGATGCATGGCCATGGACATTTAGTCGGTGGTCTTCCCCCTCAAGGCTAACGCGTCCTATGAATGTCCCTACAAGAACATGTAATACGACCTTATCTTCAACCTTTTCACATTTATTGACAAATATTAAATTAAAAGTAATGTTTTGTAGTTAATTATAACTTAAATAGATGATTAATAAAAGACTGAAGAACTTGCTTCACACCCAAATTTAGGACTACTTTGTCATATTCATCCCATGGACTTATTACATAATCATTTGTCATGGATTACGAATAGCAAAAGGGAAGGGTCGACCTTACTGCTGTGTTCTTTCCTTCCCATTGAGCACACAAACATTATTTTTCTCTCTTTCTCCCACTATCTCCTCCCATTTTTCCATTCTATCAATCAAAACCTAATGGTTGGTCAAATCTTTCATATATGTTTGAGGAAACTAAAACTTGTATTACTCTGAGGTAGGCGTGTTTATTGAGTGAGTCGATCACGAGTTGGATAGTGCTTAATTCGTGTTCGTAAAAAAAATTTGTTGTTTGACTCGTTGATTGTTAAGCTCGTTAAAATTTTGCTCAACTAGTACTTGTTAAAAATACTGGTTGTTCAACTCGACTGTTGCTCGTTAAGTTCGTTACTCGTTAAGCTCACCAGAATTTTTACCTTGTTTTTTTAACTATAGGTAAAATCTACTAATATTATATAGAGCTTAATATAAACATAAACAAACAAATTTAACAAAAAAATTATTAAAAGGGTGTGTGAAGCAATTTCAAAGTCAAAACTCGAAAATAACAATCCACAAATATAACAAACTAACATATTAAAATCAAATAACAATCCATCAATAAATCAAACTAACATATTAAAAACATTCTTAAAAAAATTCAACAACACATAATCAATCATAAAATAAAGAAATCAACATCTCTTCACTCCGTTCATTGTTTTCTTGCAATAACCAAACTACAAAATTAAAAAAATATTATAAAAATTTAACGAATTATCCGCGAACTTATCGAGTCGAGTTAGACTTCGATTGACTCGACTCATTAAAGTATCGAGTCGAGTTTGAATTCGAATCGAATCAACCCGAATCGAATTTTAACTGAATACTAACCGAGTCGAGTTCAAACCGCTCACAAACTACTCAACTCATCAATCACTCTAACTCTCAAGTACCTGCTGCTCTAAGCCCTGGTTTTGCTGCTTCTGACATTGCAAATGTTTGCAATGAAGCAGCATTTAGCTGCCTGGAATCAAAGTGCTCTAATAACCATGCAACATTTTGAGGCTGCTATACACGTAGTAACGACGGTAAGAGTGAGTAAAATTGATTTTAAAAAACGACATCTCATTATTCAATTTAATTTTACTCGTAATTTCATAAATCCACATTATACGCCTCAACTGATTCACCGAACATAATAAATTCACCGGCTAACCAATTTAAAGGCGAAGCCATTACAACAGGATAAGAAAAATCTAATTAATATTATAAATAATTCCACAACCTCTTTAACGGCAACTACCAACTACCTTTTTAACTTATTCCTCGTCTAATTTTGCTACCTTTACCGGCGGCCGGATACAACCCAGTAGCCCACCCTTCTCGAACATGGCTATGTTTACACGTGTCCCATTGGTCTTTTCAAGCTGCTTCATCCAAGTCTTTAAATCGTCACTTCCTTATGGCATTGTCATCACCTTTAAGTCCGGCTCTGTCAACAAGATCAAACAAGGGTTTTAGGAGAACAACAGTGGTTTTAGCTTCCATGGCTGATTTGAGCAGTGTGCTTGTCACTGGAGCCGGTGGCAGAACAGGTTTTCCCTTTGTTTTACAGCTTTCATCCCTCTTTTTTAATTGTTAAAAAGGGTTTCTTTTTTTATTGCTTTTTGAGTTTTGTTTTGTCAAGACTACATTTTGTTTTCTTTAATGCTTTACAGATGAAAAATGTTGTCATATAGGCTGCATTTCCATTACATATATGTTTCTTCCTACGTTTACTTCATTTAACTTCAACCTACAAAAGCTCTTACAATCTTGTGGCATCACTGGTGGTTATGTTTTTTTAATCGGACATTGGTTGTTAATGTCCTGGTGGTAGGTCAGATAGTTTACAAGGAACTGAAAGAGAGGTCTGACCAGTTTGTTGCAAGAGGACTGGTTAGAACTCCAGAAAGCAAGGAGTCAATCGGTGGAGCAGATGATGTTTTCGTCGGTGATATAAGGGATACCGCCACTCTAGTTCCTGCTATGCAAGGAATTGATGCTCTCATAATTCTTACAAGTTCTGCTCCGAGAATGAAACCCGGATTCGATCCATCGAAAGGAGGAAGACCCGAGTTCTATTTTGAAGATGGAGCATACCCTGAGCAAGTAAGTCCATTTTCTTCCTATAATCCTAGGATTTTACTCTTGTTTTCTTTTGTTCTTCACTGCACTGATGTAAGGTTATCCATCTTGTCTTGTTCCTTAGGTTGATTGGATTGGTCAGAAAAATCAAATAGATGTTGGTGAGTTCTTCACTCTACATGTCTAGTTTTCACTTAGGCAAACCATGTAATGGAAAGAACACATTCTGAATGGGCAGCTAAGGAGGCTGGCGTGAAGCAGATCGTGTTGGTCGGGTCGATGGGTGGAACAAACCGTGATCATCCCTTGAACAGCTTCGCCAATGGGAACATTTTGGTTAGCATCCTTCTCAGTACTACTAATAAATCTCAGCTCTGTATTATTCGGTTTTGATTTTTCTGTTTTGCAGGTCTGGAAGAGAAAGGCCGAGCAGTATTTGGTCGATTCTGGTGTTCCGTACACAATTATCAGGTAGATGAATTTAGGTAGTTTTATAGTGAAGGCAATGCCATTGACCTTGAACAACTTAGATTGAGTCTTTTCTGTCAAGTTAGGGCTGGAGGGATGCAGGATAGAGATGGTGGCATCAGAGAACTACTTGTTGGGAAGGACGATGAGCTTCTTCAGACTGAAACAAAATCAATTGCCAGGCCTGATGTAGCTGAAGTTTGCATTCAGGTATCACCTTTCGTTGTATTCGCATTCATTCTAAACATTTTCATCCTTACCATTGGGCATTGGATTGCTTTTTTTCATGCATCTTACTTGTTTTCTTTTCAAACAGGCTCTGAAATTCGAGGAGGCCAAGTTTAAGGCGTTTGATCTAGCCTCGAAACCGGAGGGAACGGGCACCCCGACAAAGGACTTCAAGGCTCTTTTTTCCCAGATCACTACTCGTTTCTAATTAAAACCAAACCATGACCTGCAGAAAGGACCACAAACAAGCAACTATTAGTAAGGTGCCGTTTGCAGAACTTAGCTGAAACGAACGACGTTGGTATGGAACTCGATATTTCAGGAATATCTGAACTCTAGTGTGTATCCTCCTTTAGCCAGTACAATAAAACGATGTTGGAAAATAAATTACAACTATTACTACATAAGCATCCGAGCATACATTGTTCCACCCCCCCCCCCAACAAATCATGTAAGTGGGAACTCAGCAAACTACATAGTTCCTCTCGTACTCTCGGAAAAAATACAAACATCCATTGAAACCCCTACCACGTAAGCAACAGATCCTCAAAATCATGACGCAAACCACTTAAAGATCTCTAGTAAACCATAAGAGGAAATGAAAAAAATCATATAAAACAAAATTGAACAACCTTCCTCTCTTCTGCTCAACCTTTATAGAATAGTTCGTGATAATTAACAGAGCAAAAAAAAATTATGACCCAAAATATCTACTAATATTTCTAGGGAAAAGAGTACCTCGTAAATAAAACCTTAAGATGTGTCACACATTATGGACTGAGTCATTGTATAATACTCAGCTGACTACACTCCATTTAGGAAGAGTTCTATTTCAAAGCTATTCACAAAGCCTAGTAATGAATAATTCATGACTCAACATATCCATGATTATCAAATATTAATTTAGCAAATGATTTCAGTCCACCCTATATCATTCTATAGTCAGCCTAACCACAAGGTAAACACATGATTATCAAATATTCAAGATATGTAATAGAATACCTAACGAAAACAAAAAGAAAAACGGGTTCTACCCCATGCTTCTACTAAATAATTCACCAACGTGATTTTTTGCCCAATCCATAAAGGATAAGTCACATATCAATTTGATCACTTCCTTTCTTTCCGTCTAAATTACCACCTTATCTATTATACATTAATAAACTCGACTTTAAAATAATTATAAAATGAATTAAATACCTATTTCAACAAAAATAAATATTTTAAACACAAAACAGAAAGACATAATTTAAAATTTAGGTACTAAACGAAACAAAACTAATAGTTTAGGTACTAAACGTATAATTATCTGAAATTTTAATATCTTAATTAATTTTGTTTTGATACATCCATATATACTTCCTCATCATATATTCATATAATCTTATCACAATCAAGATTATCAAATTGAAAAATGATATCATATAATATATAATATGATTTAAGGATTAAAATACAAGGAATTTTCTTGAAAACCATGGATCAAAAACTAATACAGAATTATAAATAAAACACAACCGAGTAAATACCTATATGGATTTGTTCTATGATTGACGCTAACCACAGCACGAAAACCAAGTGTAAAAGGCATAGAAAGAACATATCATATAGTTTTAGTTAGCAGCCAAATTTTCATACTGCCATGGGTTGAATTCAGTGGACTTAACGTCAATCTCCTCCCTGCTACTCGAGCTACCTACCGCAGCCCGGTGTTCATCATACTTGCCATTGTATCGATAAACTTCCAACTCACCCCAAGGTGTAGCAGCAACTTCGTTGGTAAAGTCGAACCATTTGGGTATAAATTTATGGCCCTTTTCCTCTCTGTTTTTCTTTTCAGCTCTCTGTCTTTCCTCCAAACTGCACAACAAAAAGAAAGCTTATAAGACATTATAATATTATATGAATTGACATGACAATAGCATAAAGTGAAAAGTGGCATAACATATAAATTGAACGTTTTTCTGAATGAAATACAACACCATATCCTGTTTCACCTCCATCAAACAAAGTTCATACAATCAGAGCAACATCTATGTAATATGCATGCAGGTATACATTAATTCTAAAATCTAATCTGTGGGGTCGAGAGAAATACCTGCTCTTTTCAAAACCTGCCTTAGAGAGGTCACCCTGCTCTAGTGCATACCTATCAGGACGTAGACGAGAATCAGATGCTAATAGCTTCTTGGGAGCAGTATCAAAGCTGTTAATCTTATGCGCAAAATGTGTGTACTGAAATTTATCATTTTTAGGAGCATCAGCAAGTCTCCACGACTGCATAACAGCAACAGAATAATGACAAGCAGATCAGTATCAGAGGCATAATATTCTCTTTTTTTGTATTTCTTAAAGCGTTACAAATTATTACCACAGGTATCAGTCCTCGACTGCTTTGATTTTGAAATCAAAATACTCATAATGCAATATAGGTAAAATGTTTGTGTAAATAAAACTGTAAGAATCACATACAAATTGCTACTGAACCAGGCACCACGGTTCTCTTGTTCATAGTTAGAAGCAGCACTATTTATATAGCATGTGGCAAGCTATTGGGAAAGGTATGATACTTAGAGAACAAGTGTGGTTTCACCGTTCTGACAGCAAATCTTGTTTCAAAAGTCAAAGTTAATCACTAGGGGGGAAAAACAGCTTATAATCTGCTTTCTGCAATCACATGTTCAAAACATCATTATCCATTCTTTCTTTTTCTTTTTCTTTTTCTTTGCAGGAAATACGAAAATTCCAGATTACAAGCATCAATAAAACTCTAGGAATGTTTATGGAAGAAAAATAATATGAAAACAACTCAGAGATGCTGTAAAAGACTAACCTCCTTTAGTTCAGTGCCTGGAAGCGGTTCCCCTTCACTATCACAAGGTTGATAACTCATTGACTCATTCCATTTCCCAGTCAACAAAATCTTTGGCTCCTCAGCAGAATTATATACATATCCATCAATTTCATACCGGCCAGCCCTGTGAACAACCAAGACTTGATGTTAAATTACGATTTACGAAGTGAAACCCTTTAAAATCTTGATGAGCATTCTTTGTGTGTGTGTGTCTCCAAACAATACAGAGAGGAAAACACTTGGAAGTTGAACCCTGCATGCAGGAGAATAGTGATTTCTTAGAATAAAACCATACCCAAACCAACCACATGGTTGAAAATATAGCACAGCTTTGTCGCCTGTTGTCAAGTTTGTCATGATCATCTCCCCTGGTGAGTCAACCCAAGTTCGTCCAAAAATTAAATTGTTAACTTTCGTGGGAGGAGGCACCAAATCAAAAACTGCACCATCTCTTTTGAGGGTCACACGGGTCCTGCACACAATTATCTTAGAATCTATTCATCGATACCAACACTAAACCTTAAAAATATGCTGAAGTTTACTTTCATCGATAGCAAACACTACAAAAGGATAACCCAAACAAGTTCAATTTTATAAGATGAGAGGCATCCTATAAGATGATGATTTCAAAGAAGATGATTTGGTGGGAAACAGAAAAATTCAAGTTTATGTATGATAGCCACACAGTCTCAGACAGATCAGAATGCATATAAACAAGTTCTTCCCTCCCCATTGCAGCGTACTTGCATTGAAGGGCATATGTAATTTGAAAGAAAGAAAAAAATCAATGCTAAATGCACACCAACTCATGTATTGAAAAATTTGTTGAACTTTTCGACCTATATTCAACTCAAATACAAGTTGAAAATTCTCCAGCAAAAATAAACCGAACTGCAAGAAGAGACCTTTACATAAAAAATGAGAAATTATTGTAATTTCCACAAACTATTAATGTTGTTTGTATTAGCTTATAAAACACGTTAATGATTTATTTTTTTACATTATGAAATTGAAACACTAAAACAAGAAGTACGAATAGGCCTTAAAAAGTCAAGAAAGAATACATGTTTTACCTTCCAAGAGGATATACATCAATTGAATTTCCCAAAAACTTGGTTTTCACTTTAGATGAAATATCATAAATGAAATGCTCATTTTCAGCATGACCAGCACTCATTGGGGGGTGATGACTAACCTGAAAAGGGCGAAATGTTTAATACCTTAAATAGAAGCCAAACAGAGAAATTATGGAGAAAAAAGTGCCAGAAGAGCCCAAAACATTAAAAGGGGAAAAAATGAACCCAAACTCAGGTCTAAAAGACCCACCTGTTCAGCTAGAAAAGTAATGCCACCATGATTAACCATTTCATAAGTCTCCCCAAGTATGGGATTGAATGGTTTCCAGGTACGTTGATAGGCATAATAGACAGATATAGCCCATGAAGCTGCAATTAGCTACCATCAGTCACCTATTTAAACTTAGTAAGAAAGAGAAGTTAGAAGAAACCTTACTAGTGTACACTAATCGCATGTAAGGATCTTCGCATTCATCAGCCAGATCTAGCAGGTATGAATACTCCATTATCTGTCACAGAACGAAATTGATAAATGATAAAACCACTGACAAAAAGGAACGAAACACAGCAAATAACTTTAAAGCAGTGGTTGGATATGAAAACACAAACCTCAGCCATTTTCTGCAACATTGACATTGGCTCAAAAATAAGAACTGGAAGTGTCACCATTGATGTAACATCAGACCCTATATACTTTTGCATCATTTTCCAGTAACCGTCCCTGTCCTGATAAGCCAAAGAAAGCAAAGTTGTGAATGCCCATACAAGTTCATAAAATGCATCATCATCATATCAAGCCAATTTAAGCAATCAGTCACATATAATTTTATCATTTATGAGAGCGAAGCAAGCATTAAGGATGCTAGTCTAGAGAAACTTAGCTTTCTTTTAATAAATGTCACATGCTTGATGGACAACATTCAAATATCTCTTATGTTCCAACAAAAATCAGTTGGAGAATTTTAGCCTAAGCACAATATAAAAGACTGACAATGTAAAGATACTTGTCACTACAACATAACCCTGATAAGCGTTATGATAATAATGCAACTAGTCACAAGTGACTTTGCAGAAAGATTTTCCAAAAAAACAGCATATGATAGAAACTGGCACGAAACTAAGTGTTTTTCTTCCTTATTTGCTCCAATTCAGACGAAGACCCCAAAAATTAAGCATTACCTCCTGTTTCCATCTTCCCCTCCTTGCCTCTTCTTCGGCATCTTCAGTCCCCCCTTCTGGATTAACAACTTCAAGCCCTTCATATCCCAATAAACTGTTCAAACAGGAAAACAATCGTGAA